CGCCGGGAGGGTGCGGTGCCTCCGTTCCGGGGGGCCTGGGCTGGGAGGCAGGGGGCACTCCCAGGAGCTCTGGAACCCGACCGCGCCGGCTGCTGCTGCTGCGGCACAGCTAGCCTGAGGAGGTTTTGCTTCTTGAATTTATGGACTCAGGAGGCGGATCAGCCTGGCTATCCTGTGCAGGGGCTGAGCGGATTGAACCCTACCCAGTACTTTCTGGGCCCTTGGTAAAAACTGGTGATGCTTGCGCAATTCTGGGAAATTGGAAGACTTGCTTTAAACTAACTGTCCTTGTGAGCCGGTTTAAAATTTTTTTTTTGCCCTGTGAAATTGACTGTAGTGACAGTCTTTTTGAGTATTACCGTGTGGGACACTGTACTTACACATTTGCCGTTGACTCCTTAATATTAGACTAAGTTTTCATGGAAACGGTGAATGGAGCACATTTGTCTGTCCTTAGCCTGGTAGATTACAAGTCTTCATGGGGAGAGGGGAAAACTGAGGCTTGAACCCAAGTCCTTCACAGTGAACTACATTTCCAGACCTTTTTTATTCTCACAGTCTTGCTTAGTTACCTGCGCTCAGCTTGAAATTTTGATCCTTCTGCCTCAGCCTCTCCTAGTGCTGGACGGATTACAATCCTGTGAACCCCAGTGATCGCAAGTCTTAAGCTTAGTGATCTTCCCAGTTTACAGTTGTGGTGCTTGTTGCCCACCTGTGGTGTAGACTTGCAAAGTAGACTGCTGTAAGTATGCTCAAGGCCTTCTTGCCTCACATGGCTGTTGCCTTTTGTGGTCTCTCCCTTGCACTTGCTCTGACAGTCTCTTTCCAAGGCCTCCTGCTGTCTTGTGGATTTACCCTCTTCTTCCTTAATTTTTTTTTTGGGTTCTCCGCGATCGAACTGGGGACCTTGTGCTTTGGTGGTGGAAACACTGAGCTAAATTCCTGGCCCTCCTTAATGTCTTTAATAACTTCCTTTTGCGTTTCCAGGGAAGCGCTTCATGTTGAGCACATACTAAGGCCCTCTGCTACATGGTTCCAGGTTCCTTTTACCTGCTTACCTTCTTTGACACCCGTTTTTACCCTGCAGTTCAGACAAGTGGGACTGCCGATTTTCAAGTGTGCCTCTACTACTGCTGCTTCTTCCCCTCACCTGTACCTGCAATGTCCTGGTCTTATTCTTCTTGTAGCGTGTCCTGGTTCTCTTTGTGTTTTGCATTCCCACACATTTTCTTTTTTTTTTTTCTCATTGAGTTTATTGGTACATTTTAGGTATACAGTACAGTTACATTCATCATTGGGATCTTGTACCTTTACATGACAGGTCTTGGTTCTCATTTTTTCCCCTTGTCCCTGCCCTCCCTTCACCCCCTCCTCCCTTCCATATTTACAAATATTTTATTTCCATTTTTTCATTTTCTCATATTTTTTTTCTTTTCCCTTCTTTCCTCTCCCCTATCCTTCCCATTTTCCCTACACCTTTAGCCCTTTTCTTCCTATTTCACACTGACAGTTATACCATTAGGCTCTTATGTACAATTATAGTTTTTCACACCAGAATAACTATTCAGTATTTACACATATGTGACTTATTTATTTCACCTAAGAGTATATTCTCAATATGCATCCATTTTCCTATGAATGATTCTATAATTTCTCATTCTTTTTTTTTGTTGTTGTTGTTGTTGTTTTTGAGACAGGGTCTCACTATGTAGTTCAGACTGACCTGGAACTCACTGTGTAGTTCAGGCTTGTTTTGAACTCACAGTGATCCTCCTGCCTCAGCCTCCGGAGTGCTGGGATCACAGGCATGTGCGACCATGGCTGGCTATAATTTCTCAGTCTTTATGGCTGAGTAGTATTCCATTTTACAGAAAAACCACATCTTTATCTAGTCTCCAACTGATGGCAAATGAGCTGTTTCCAAGTTTTGACTATTACACATTTTCTTTTTGTTTGTTTGTTTGTTTGGTTTTTGAGACAGGGTCTCACTATGTAGTTGAGACTGAACTGGAACTCACTATGTAGCCTAGGTTGGTCTCGAACTCACAGTGATCTTCCTGCCTCAGCCTCCTGAGTGCTGGGATTACAGGCGTGTACCACCACGCCCGGCTTTACATTTTCCATCTTAATTATAACACTGAGAGCATCTTGTCTTGTAGGTAGTGAGCTCTTTAAGATGAGGTCTAATACAGTGCCATGTGTGGAGGGGGCTTTTGAGTAATTGTCACATTGAAGGCACTCTCCTTTTTGACCTAAGTCACTATTACTAGGTACAATTTTAGGCATGATGAATAAACCCTAAGTATAGTTTATGTCCTGCCAAACCACTAGGATACACTTGCTTAAGGGTTTAGGATGTATAATTATGCTAAAATAGGGTGAGTTCTGTTTGAAGTTTCTTTCCTTTGACATAATGCTAACATGTAGAGCATTTGTTTATGGAAATAAACATTTTCTAAGTAGGTTGTAAGGAACATTTTTACAGTTCTTCATCTCTTTTGAAAGGAGTCCAAAGCCACCTGCCTGGAAGAGCGTCCCCTGCTCCAGAAGTGTGAATTGGCCCCGTCCAAGTTAGGTGAGGAAGTGGATGATGTGTACCTCATTCGAGCCCAGGGACTGCCCTGGTCATGTACTGTGGAGGATGTACTTAACTTTTTTGCAGGTATGTCTTTCTCTTTTTTTAGATAGAGTCTTGCTACACTGCCTAGGCTGTTCTTGAACTCTAGCTCAGTGATCCTCCTGCCTCAGGCTCCTGATGCTGGGCCTTCAGGCCCATCCCACTATGCCCAAGTTTTATATGTGTTTTAAGTAAGTCTTTTTTTTATTTTATTTTTTATTGCTGGGGCTTGAACCCAGAGTTTTCCCACTGAGTCACATCTGCACAACTTTTAAAAAATATTTTATTTTGAGATAGGGTCTTGCTAAGTTGTTAGATGCCCAGACTGGGCTCAGACTTGAGATCTTCTTGCCTCAGCCTCTCAGAGTACTAGGATTACAGGTGTGTGCCACCATGCTCAGTGTAAGTACGTAATGTCATCTGAATAAAGTACAGCTAAGATGGCTATGCAGGAGATAGCCTTTTTGATGGCTGGGCACTCTCATTCTTGGTGGTTACAGATTCTTACCAAGGGACGTCATGGTTATATTTATGGTATATATTAGATTTATTATTATTATTATTATTATTATTATTATTATTATTATTATTATTATTATTCTTTTGTGGTACTGGGGATTGAACCCAGCACCTTTGCACTGAGCTGCATCCCCAGCCCTTTTTGAAATGGTCTCGCTAGATTCCTCAGGTGAGACTTGAACTTGTGATCCTCTTGAGCCAGAGTAAAGGAATCACAAGTGTGTGCTACCATGCCCAACCTCTATGAAATTTAAACTCTGAATGTAGCCAGATGTGGTGACACACAGGCCTGTAATTTCAGCACTTGGGAGTCTGAGGCAGGAAACTCTGTACCCCCCCCCAAAAAAAAAACAAAAAAAAAACCCCAAAAGGCCTTGAATGCAACAAAAATAATCTTAAGACTGTGGTATGAAATCGGTTTTCTCAGAAGTTTCAATATGTATGTAACAAGCCAGGACTGGTGCTACATGCCTGTAGTCCCAGCAGACTAGGAGGCCGAGGCAGGAGGACTGAAAATTTGAATCCTACCTTGCCAGCTTAGCAAGATCCAGTCTCAAAATAAAAAGTAGGGATGGGGATTTAGCTCAGTGGTTCTTCTGCTTGCTTTGCAAGCAAAAGACCCAAGTTTGATCCCCAGTACCAAAAAACAAATAAATAACTAAAGGGATGTTGCTCAGTGTAAAAACCCCAAGAGAAATCATCAGTACTGCCAAAAAAAAAGTGTAACGAGTAGCCAAACCTATGAGTGGAAATACGGGATTGAGAGTGTTTATAAAATACACATGTTTTGAACATACGATCACTGGCATGAAGTACCCATGTTTACCAGTGTGTGGTTAGTATTTTTTTTTTTAAGAGGAGTATTTTATTTTCTGTATCTGACCATGATTTAAAAATTTCCTCTTAAGAGGCTTTTAGATGATTCTCCTTTAAAATATAAAAGAATGGCTAGGCATCATGGTGCACAAGTATAATCACAGCTTAGCACTTGTGACCGAGGCAGTAGGATCATGAATTAGAAGCTAGGCTGGACTAAGAATAAGGCTGTCTCTGAATGAATGAGTGAGTGAACGCGTATATGGTAAAAGGATGTGACTCTGTAACCTCCTTAATGTGTATAGCATTGTGTTGAGACAAGCATTTTATGAAGCCTAAAGCTACTGCCACTTACTTAGATCTTTTACTTGCATTGTAAAAAATAAACATGTAAACTGGTGTGGTGGTACAGAGCTATAGTCCCACACCCTGGAGGCCTGCCTGGACTACATAGTGAGTTCAAGGTAAGCCTGAATTACATAGCAAGACCCTATCTCAAAAAACCAAAACAGACAGACATAAGAAATAAGCACTGTAGAGATGATTGATAATCAAAGGGGGAAATGAAATTATTGGAGCAGAATTATTGTTATTTTTTTATGGTACTCATGGTTCAACCCAGGACCTCATGTATAGCAGGCAAGTGTTCTACAATTGAGCTACACCCCACTCCTGTTTATTTTTCTTGAGATGGGGGTCTTCCTAAATTACCCATAATTATTTTCATAGGATTTTTTTGCAGTGTTGGGGTTTAAACCCAGGGCCTCTCACACAGTAGACAAGTGTTCTACCACTGAGCTATATTCCCAACCGCCTTTATTCTTTATTTTGACAATGGGCAGTCCTGAAACTTGTGATTCCCCCTGCCTCAGCCTGCTTTGATGCTGGGATTGTAAGTGTGTGCTGCTGTACCCAGCTCATAGGAGAGACTTTATGAATAATATTTTAAAGGCTGGGCATGGTGATGCTTGCCTATAATTGCAGCACTCAGGAGGCGGAGGCGGAGGCAGGAGGATTGCTGTGAGTTCGAGACCAGCTGTGAGTTCCAGTGCAGTCTGAACTACATAGTGAGACCGTGTCTCAAAAAAAAAAAAAAAAAAAAAAAAAAAATTAAAGCAGCTCATGTATAGATAGACCTAGCCATGTTTTTGTTCCGTACATGACTCAAAGCTGGTAGTAGAAACACTGGAGTGCACATAGGGCATTTCAGTTGCGCCTGTCCTCACTCAGCCATTGCCTTGCCCTCTCAGAGCTGGAGCCAAGGTTGTGAGAGGTAGTACCCGTGCATGTACTCTGTCAGCACCTCTGGCTCTGGTGATGGGGGTGTGCATGAGGAGTGTGAGGAGCGTTGCTGCTTTGTTGCTGGGAAGCTGTACTTGGTGACTTGTGTAAGAAGCTCAGTTTGGAGCCTGTTTTTAATTGACTTCTTGTGTACTTTTAGACTGCAAAATCCGCAACAGTGAGAAGGGAATACATTTTCTCTTAAATAGAGATGGGAAGCGCAGAGGCGATGCTCTGATTGAGATGGAGTCAGAGCAGGATGTGCAGAAAGCCTTGGAGAAGCACCGCTTGTACATGGGCCAGCGGTATGTGGAAGGTGAGTATGGTGTGGTGCTGGGGCACATGCTGGAGTGCACATTTCTCAGGGAAGTTTTGTTTGACCTTTGACAATAGCGAAGTCATTGCATATCATGCATACATTATTTTGCAGCTGTGAGAATGAAGCACACAGATTATCCTATCTATGGAGTTATTCCTTCTATGGAATGAGGTTGCTGATCAGGTTTATTTTGAAATGTGCTATGCTTGGCACATTTAATAATCGATAAATGTTCCTTGCTATTTTCTTGACAAGTGCATACCAAGTAAGACTAGTGTTTGATTGGATAGCTCACCAAGTGGTCATGTTTGAGTGGGCCAAATATAGTCCAAGTTCTTGCGTATGACAAGGAAAGAATTGGCAAGCATACACTTGGTAGTATGTAGTATGTAATAATAGTTATGTTTATTTATTTATTTTGGTTTTTTGAGGCAGGGTCTCAGTATGTAGTTGAGACTGACCTAGAACTCACTATGTAGCCCAGGCTGGTCTCCAAATCACAGTGATCCTCCTGCCTCAGCCTTCCGAGTGCTGGGATTACAGGCGTGCGCCACCATGCCGGGCAGTAATTAATGTTTATTAAAGATCATGGATGACAGTAGTAGGAACAAGAAGAAGGGCAAAGGGAAAAAAGGGACCTCCATAACTGAGGCTTGCAGTATTTTTAGGGTTAGACACCTGTGGTCCAAGGTGCCTCCCACTGTTCTCTCTCTGTGATGCCAGCAGTCCGCACAGCCTCCTAAACTGAAACCTGGATGATCGTTAGGGTGGTGTTTGGTTTATTGTTGAGTGGAGAGAAGGGAAGCAGTTTAACACAGCTTCCCTGTCTTAGGATTATGGAAGCGTGGATATTCATTGGGTAGTGTCTCATTTACAGTTGAACACAGGGAAGAGCATGACTCAATTTTTAATTGTGCCAGTAATAATATTCAACTTACAAAAGTTGGCTTTCTTTGTTAGGTAAACTTTGTATTCCTGTTGTGCTCTTTTCTTGCAGTCTATGAGATAAACAGTGAAGATGTGGATGCCCTAATGAAGAGCCTGCAGGTCAAAGCATCCCCTCTGGCCAATGATGGTGTGGTTCGGTTGAGAGGACTTCCATACGGCTGCAATGAGAAGGACATTATAGACTTCTTTGCAGGTGCTCAGCACTTTGATTGTGTGTGGGGCATCACATCTCCCATGTCTACTGCTTTCTCCATTGTCCTGTATCTCTGAAGTGTTTAGACCTGTCAGGCAGATCTTTGAGTCATGCCACATTTCAGAATAATTCATAAAGCTTTGTTTTACTACTGAAGAAAATACCTTTGCGGGGTGGATATAATAAAAATATATTTGTTGAGTCCTCCCTGCAAAAGTGAAACCAGGGGAGAGTGCGGCACAAGGGATGGGGGTCAGAGTGATCAGAGCACTGTATTCTGTTTGTGGTACATACCTGTAATCCTAGCACGTATGAGGCTGAGGGAAGATCACCATGAGCTCAAGGCTGCCTAAACTACACAGTGAGACCCTGGTACTAGGGATTGAACTTGGGTCTTTGCACTAGCAAACCACTGAGCTAAATCCCCGGCCCAAAAAACAAAAATTTTTTTAAAAAAGAGATTTACATAATGAAAACTACAGAATATAGCTGAAAAAAATAAAGATGATCTATATAGTGCATGTTAAAAGAATACCTTCTGTCTCTATAAGTGCTATCATTATGTATATCTAAAATGTATCAGTAAATGTTTTGCTTGGGAAAAAACAAAACAGAACAGTGGCGATCTGTATGATTCAAACACATAATTCCTAGAAAATAGACACTCTTAGTAGCTATGTTAGTCTACATCTCTGTTGTCTCTTAAAATACAAATAATGGCAAAATAGTGGGAGTTGTGTGCTTTAGATGGGCTACTTGGACCCCACACATTGTAGAAATATAAGTATTTAGGTGTTACTAATGTGTGAATATGTCGTAATTCCCCATTCTACATTGCCCAGCTTTGGGATTGCCAGAATACCTTACAGACTTTATTAGTGCATAAGGAAAGGTGTTCATTCTGAGGATGCCATAGTTCTTGGTAGCAGATGTAATTTGTAGTAACTTTCTCTTGTCCTAGGACTGAATATAGTAGACATCACTTTTGTGATGGACCACAGAGGGAGGAGGAGGACAGGGGAAGCCTACGTGCAGTTTGAAAAGCCGGAGATGGCCAGCCAAGCGCTGATGAAACACAGGGAGGAGATTGGAAACCGGTGAGTGAAACAGACTCTAGAGATGGGAAGTTCCCCGCACCAGGTCTGGTGGTGAGTGTGTGGGATGTGACTGCTGAGGTTATCCACGCAGGAACATGGAGATGGGTCGGGAGAGGAGCCGGTGGGAGAATCCTGCAGTGAGCCATGTGATGTCCATCACTTGGATTGCTGCTAACATTTGTTAGATTTGTTTCCTTTCTCTTCCTTTTTTTCTTCAGTGGTTGCCCCTGGCCTTTTCGGGGGGGACTGGCCCTAAAATCACTATATAGCCCCCTGGCAGGCCTTGAACTTGTGATTCTCCTTTCTCAGCCTCTCAGATTGTGGGATTACAGGCAGGTGCCACCACATCTGGCTGTTGCTGCTGGCTGCTGCTGCTTGTTGTTGGTTTTTGTTTTGTTTTCTTGTGGTGCTAGGGATTGAACCCAGGCAGGGGCCCTTCATGGTAGGCCAGTGCTCCAGCCCTCAGTTCCATGCCTGGCCTGCAGTTGGGTTAGAGGAAATTGGCCAGCTGTCTCATATGGTATCTTACGTTCGTGTAACATCTGGATGCACATAAGGATGTAGATGATGTATGTTTTAATTTCAATTTTAATTTTAATTTCCCAGGAATAGTAAATAGTCAAATTTTCCATTATTGTTTTTTGCTTTCTGACCTTTTTTTTTTGAGACAGGGTCTCACTATGTAGTTGTGACTGACCTGTAACTCTCGATGTAGCCCAGGCTGGTCTCGCACTCATAGCGATCCTCCTGCCTCAGCCTCCTGAGTACAGGCATGTGCTACTATGTCTGTTGCTTTCTGACCTTTTTTACTTAGCTTCCTTATGGTTAAAGATAAAGGTCACTCCAAGGCCAGTGTATTCAGGATGTGCTACACTGGTGGTTCAAAGGTCTTTGTAAAGAAGCGCTATTGAGTAGTTTTCTTTCTCTTGAGTGGTTTCTCTGAGTGGTTAGTCAAAGTGCTACGCCCCTGAATTTAACTCCTCATTTAATCTTAGGTTTTCACTACTCCCATTTAATAGCCTCTTTTGGAAGAGTAGTTCCACTGTCACTTGATGGCAAGTCAGAGCAATATCTAATTCTGGAATTTTCTTTAGCCTCCTATTAAGTTCTTTTGTGGAAGTTCTCATAATGTAATTTTTAATATCTTGTACAGAGGTGACTATTTGCAGTTGCAAGGTATCAAGGGTTGTGAGAAGAAAATAAGCCTTTGTATTAATGTTCTTCATTACTATAACAAATACTTGAGGCAGGCTAACTTTATAAAGAAAAGAAGTTAATTCAGCTCACAGTTTCAGATGCTGAGAGCCCACCATATGGTGCAGGTCTTTGGGACCCCCATCTGGTATGGCTATGTGGAAAGAAGAAATTACATCTTGGAATAGGAAAGCAGAGAGCAGCTCAGGTTAGGCTTGGACTTTGATAATGGCTCTCTCTTCGAGGCCTGGCCTGCTGACTGTCCCCTTTCTAGAGCAGTGCCCCCCTTGAGTGCAGGCCTTCTCAGGGTCCTTCCTGTGTGTGCATTTAGCTTAGCCAAGCATTCTCAGATACTTAGACACTGTTTAAAATCTGTATGAGGAAAAGTGTTAGCAAGTGTTAGCTTGGCAAAAAGATGTAATCGTTAACTATTGCTGAGATTACTTTTTCACTTTTTCATGGACTGGTATCTAATAGCGCTTTTTTTTTCTTTTTCTTTTTTTTTTTTTTGTACCGGGGATTGAGCTCCAGACCTTGGGCTTGCCAGGCAGACTCTATGCCCCTGAGCTACATCCCTGGCCTCTATAGCTATTGTTAATTTGCTCCATGTTTCATAGGTACATTGAGATATTCCCAAGCAGAAAGAATGAAGTTCGAACACATGTTGGCTCTCATAAAGGAAAAAAAGTGGTATCTTCTCCTACTGCCAAGTATATAACCGAGCCAGATGTGGTTTTTGAAGAACATGAGATAAATGAAGATATTCGGCCCATGACAGCTTTTGAAAGTGAGAAGAGGACAGGTAAGGTCCTGCTGCTGCTGGAGTTTCAGTAGGTGTGCCTTTCACGTTTTGGATTGTGTTAACTTTTTTTTTTAACTGTGTTGTATGAAATTTTGAGATTGTAGAAGGACGGGAATTGAGTTAAAGATTTAATGGACTGCGAAGGTTGAGTATATGCAGGAGGGCTTACTACTTGTTTTTAAAGTAATCATTTTGTAGATTGTACCAAAAGCTGAGTACTAAAAAAAGTAATAAGTGAAGTAAAATGAAAACATTTAAGCTGAGGTGGGGAAAGATCTGGGTAGAAAGCAGGAATAGTGACTAAAGTAAGGATTTTTTTGTCTGTCTCTGGATTTAATTATTTGATTCCTAACCCAGACGCAACCTTTGGAATCTTTGAAATGTAATGGATACCCTGGGATTATCCTGTCACTGTATATATGTGTGTATGTATATGTACTAAAGTACCTTTTACATATTTTATACTAATGGTTCTAATTCTGTGTATCTATTATATATTAGTCCCTGTAACCCAGCAAGTTTTTCTTGCTGTAGAGGTTCTTTCATGATCATTGTACCTTCTTTCAAGTTCTTAACTTGGTAATGGTCTGAGGCACTGCATGCTTGAGGGTGTTTAGGGATGTTGGTAAGCAGCAGAGATTTCATTTCATCACTGTGGCTTTCAGAGCCCTTCCTTGCTGGCTCCAGAAGAAATGACAGTTTTAATATCACAGGTCTTGGTCTGTTAGTGGCTCCTGAAAAGTTCATGGCCTTGTTTTTGTTCTCCTCAGAATTGCCTAAGGAGGTGCTTGAGAAGCTTCCAGAGGCTGCTGACCTTGGAGCTGTGCCTTCCCTGCATGTGGTGCACATGCGTGGGCTGCCTTTCCAAGCCAATGCTCAAGACATCATAAATGTGGGTACAGTAGGACATCCAGTCCCATTAGGTTGGGAGAGCTCCTATTAATTTGTGATAGGAAGAGAGAAGATGCAGTACTTTTGTCACATAGCATACCCTTTGTTGGGAACTTGTTTCATTTTCTGCAGCTGAAATGGTAGCATGGCTGGGCTTGATAGCACAGACCTATATTTCCAGCCACTGAATGACTGAGGCAAGAGGGTCTGTATAGCTCAGGAGTTCAGGGTTAGCCTGGGCAACATAGTGAGACTCTTGAAAAAAATGTGGCTTTGAATTTGATCCCTGGTAAAAAAAAAAAAAAAAAAAAAAAAAATCTGGTTTAGTACTACATTGAAAAAAAAAAAAGATTCAAGAATTTTATAGATGCCAAATAATAATGAAGCAGGTTTAGTAATCAGAGTTTGATTTCATAATGAATTGGTTCAACTCATTCAGTTTTTAGTTCAGGAAACTGAGGCTCAGGTATTTGGTGACAGCCATTGCGTGCAGATGCTCCTGGACTTAGGTTTGCTGTACCGCAAGGTGACAGTGCTGGTGGGCGAGCCTGAGATCACATCTGAACGCATGACACCCTAGTGTCCTCACTGTCAGGTTGGCTGGGGGTGTGGCTGCCGTGGTGCCCCCATCTTAGCAGAGTGTCCTACTGCATATCACTGGCCTGGAAAAGTCCAAAATTCCCTGTGGTTTCTACTAAATTTGAATTGCTTTTGTACCATCATGAACTAAAAACATGTTAGTTGGAACTGTGAAGCCATCATGAAGTTGGGGACTGTGTGTACGAGCCGAGAATCTAGGGCTGAAATGCCCAGCTTTCTTGCAGTACTCCCTGACTTCTGAGAAAATGAATATAAAGTATATTTTTATTTTAGAATAGACACTATATACAATAGAACAACAAAGCTCTGGACTTCATGAGTTTGAGAACATATGAAATACAAATCTAACCCAAAGTCGGCAGTTGCTAGTGATGTCTCATATTTGCCATCAGTATTTCAGAGAGCCTAATACTAGTCACAGAAATCAGCTCTCTCTTTTTTTGGTGGCATTAAGGAACTGGGGAATTGAACCCAAGGGCCTTCTACCACTGAGCTACTTCCTCAGCTCTGTTAGTTGATTGATTGATTGATTGATTGATTTTATTTCAAGGCAAGGTCTCACTAAGTTGCTCAGCCTGGCCTTGAACTTGGCAGTCCGTTTGCCTTACCCTCCTAAGTAGGTAGTATTCCAGTTTTGTGCCGCCATGCCTGACCAGGAACCGTATCTTTATCCGAATGAGGGCTGTACAAGGTATTAGCATTGTGTTCCATTGCTTTGCTTTGGAGGAGTGACCACTTGTGGTAGTCGTGCTCCTGTAGTACTGATGAGGTGCGTATCTGATTAAAACAAGATTTTTTTTTTGAGACAGGTCTTACTGTGCAGTGCAGGCTGGCTTTGAACTTACTGTGCAGCCCAGGCTAGCCTTAAATTCATAACCCTCCTGCCATGGTGTCTCAAGCACTGGGATTGCAGGTGTGTATTTCCATGCCTGGGAAAACATGCGTTATCAAGGATTGCGGAATACTTATTGCCAGATGTAGTGGCACACACCTATCCTAGCACTTGGGTGTTCAAGGCCAGCCTGGACCAGTAGCAAGACCCTGTCTCAACAAATCAAAAAAAAAAAGAATATTTGCTGACACTTTTTAGAAAGGTATGTGGAATAATAAAAATGGCCTTTATTGTTGCTGGGCATTGTGACTTACACCTATAATCCCAGCAGTCAGGAGGCTGAGGCAAGAGGATTGCTGTGAGTTCGAGACCAGCCTGGGCTACATAGTGAGTTCCAGGTCAGTCTCAACTACACAGTGAGACCCTGTCTCAAAAAACCAAAAAAAAAAAAAAAAAAAAAAGGAAAAAGAAAAAAATGTGAGAACCATTTGTGTAGTGATTGTGTTTGCAGTTACACTTTTTTGGGAGACCTGTCACTTGAGTTTAGCTTATAGAGATGGTCCCTAAAAACAAAGCTGAGGTGAGCCACAGAGAGTGAAGGAGTCGTGCAGGCCTGGGCCTGTAGACGTAGCTGGTTCCCAGTGTTCAGTAGTGCTGTGCTTGGTGCCCTGTGTCTCATAGTTCTTCATGCCGCTGAAGCCAGTGCGCATCTCCATGGAGTACAGCTCCAGCGGGAAGGCCACGGGTGAGGCTGATGTGCACTTTGACAGCCATGGGGACGCTGTTGCTGCCATGCTCAAGGACCAGTCCCATGTGCGTAAGTACTGCCCCTGCTCCCTGGCATCGGCCCGGAGCTGTTCCTGTACTCCTGAATTAGTATGTGCCCTGCCAAAGTGAACACCGTATTACTGAATTCAACATTATGATAAATAGTTAATCTAGTAAAAACCATTGATTAGTCTGATGATTACATTTCTCTTTTTTTTTTTTTTAACTCAGGACCTTGTGCTTGCCAGGCAGGCACTGTGCCACTGAGCTACATCCCTGGCCATTTTTAATTTTTCTGAGATGAGAGTTTTCCTTTGTTGTTGGGACTGATCAAACTGAGGAGTCTGAAGTGGTCCTCCTGCCTTAGCTTCTGCTGGCTGGGACCATGAGTGTGTACCACCACAACTGGCCCTCCTTCACCTTTTCACTTTATGTTGCTTTGTGGCACTGGGGATTGAACCCAGGGCCACTGAGCTACATCCCCAGCCCTTATTTTTTTAGTCAGGGCCTTGCTAAGTTGCCCAGGCTGGCCTGGGACTTGGAATTCTTAGCTTGGACTATATGTGCACCACCACTCTCAGCTTTTGTTTTTAATTAGGGAAAGGGCAAAAAGGCTTGAATTGCTATCTGGATGTTGAAAAAATGGATCCAGTATTTTTTCTGCCTTTTTAGTTTTTGTTTTGTTTTGTTTTTGGTGGTACTGAGGGTGGGGGCCCTTTTGTTGAGCTACATCCTCAGCCTCCCCTCCCTCTCTCTCTTCTTCTTCTTCTTTTTTTTTTTTTTTTTTTTGGTACAGGGGATTGAACTCAGGTCCTGTTGTGCTTGTGAGGCAGGTGGTGGAACCTCTGAGCTAAATCCCCGGCCCTCTCTCTCTTTCTTGTTACATAAACAATTTATCTGGTAGTAGATTTTAATTTTTTTATAAATTCTGTTTTATAATTGGGCATGGTAGTGCTCACCTGTAATCCCAGCACTCGGGAGGCTGAGGCAGGAGGATCGCTGTGAGTTTGAGACGAGCCTGGGCTACATAGTGAGTTCCAGGTCAGTCTCAACTACGTAGTGAGACCCTGTCTCAAAAAAAAAAAAAAAAAAAAAATTGTTTTGTCCCTTCCCTTTCCAAGCTTAGTTTCCATTTTTTCATTTTTTCACTTTTTTCCTCTCTCCCTCCTCCTTTGTTCCCTTTCCCATTTGAACACTTTCTTCCCAACATCCATATACATTTCAGTTCTTCTTTCCACTTTTGGTTTCTCACACCACAGAAACAATGCAGTATTTAAACAGTGTGTCTGATTTATTTCACTGAGTAGTATGGTCTGAAGGTCCATCCATTAGCTATAAATGAAGCTCATCCTTCTTTATTGTATAAAAAACCCACATATTTATCCACTCGTCAGTTGATGGGTATTTGGGCTGTTTCTTTTGTTTTATTTTGTACTGGGGATTGAGCTCAGGACCTTGTGCGTATAAGACAGGCATAATGCCACTGAGCTAAATCCCTGACCTCGTTTGGACTGTTTCTGATATTTAGCTGTTACAAACTGTGCTGCTATAAACATGGGTGAGTGTATATCACTATGGTCACTATGGTATGATTCTTTTAACTTTTTTGGGAAGGTACCAAGAAGAGGTTGAGCTGAGAAAAATGGAACCTTTAGTTTCAGGGTTTTTTTTAGGACTCTCCACACTGATTTCCACAGTGGTTGCACTAGTCTGCACTCCCACCAACAGTGGAAAAGGGTTCCCTCTTTCCCCACAGCCCCTCCAGCATTTGTTATTGGTTGATTTCTTGATAACAGCCATTCTTTCTGGAGTGAGGTGGAATATCAGTGTTGTTTTAATTTGTTTTTCATGAATGACTAGTAATGTTGAACACTTTTTCATATATTTATTTGCCATTTCTGATTGTTCATTTGTTTCTCTTTATTTTTTATTTTGAGACAGAGAGTCTTGCTAAGTCCCTAAGTTCCCCAGGCTAGGCTTGAACTTGTGATCTTCTGCCTTAGCCTCCCAGAGTTCTTAGATTACAGGTGTGCACCAGTATGCCTGAGTCCTTTACAACTTTGTAAAAACTAACCTTTTTTAATAATTATTTTCAGACCACAGGTATATTGAACTGTTCTTGAACTCATGTCCAAAATGAAAATAAGACTTCAGGGATTCCATATAATAAGGTAAATTTATTATAATAAGGTAAGAGATATAACTGGAAATTATTTTCTGTTGACAATAATCATTAACTCACTAACTGGTAATATAGTGGAAAGGATTCTTCTGGGGCAGGGTGGCATTCATTTTGTTTTCAGTATTGGGGATTGAAACTGGAGCCTTGTTCCTGGTAGGCAGTGGTCTTTGATTGCACTGTATCCCCAGTGATTCTCTTTAATAAACAGTAACTGAGACATCAATAGAAAGAATGGAACTTCTGGGAACGCATACTCACCGCGATTGCAGAGTGCTTTGAGTGTTGCCCTGTGAAGTCTTGCTCTGTACTTTCCAGCAGTTCCTGCTGTGTGCCCCACAAATGATTATGTCGCTGCTTCTCGTAGGTGCTGTACACAGCAAGTATGCCTTGAACTCACTTTTCTTCCCACTGACGTGTACACATCTCAGCTGCAGATATTTTTAGGGTGTGAAAGGATGTTACCTTTTTTTAAAAATAAATTTTATTTAATTCCACCCCCCCAACCTCCCTCCCCTTCCTATATACAACAGCTTAGTTTCCACTTTTTCCTTCTTTTTTCAGTTTTTTCTTATCCTTTCCTTCCTCTCTCCCTCCTCCCTTGTTTTCCTTCCCATTTGAAGACTTTCTTCCCATTTCCCAACATCCATTATACATCTCAGTTCTTTCCTTGTTCAGTTTCTCACACCAGAGAAACAGTGTGGTATTTAAACGTGTGTCTGATTTATTTCACTTAAGAGTGTGGTCTCAAGGTCCATCTGTTTAGCTAGAAATTTCTGAAGCTCAAAAAAGGATATCACTCTGAAACCAGAGTGCATCACCAGTGCAGTTAACTTGCCACTGTTTCCCTTTTCCAAAGCGGTGTTATGGAAATGATTTTTTGTCTTAGGAAGTACATGGTTTCATATTTGCAAATTGGCCTTGATGTCCCATCTCTTGATAAACATCTTTTTTTCCCTATAGAAACTATTTGCAGTCATTTTTCTGCGTATAGTGATGCATTCTTTAGAGACACTTAACTGTGATAAGTTTCTGAAAACATGGGTGTTCTGTTATTAGGGATGTTGTGGGCTATTTTAGATGTGAAGTTCCTTGATGTTAAATGTTTAGATTAGCTTAATTCTTATAAAATATGTTCTGCACTCTCTTGTAGAAATATGTCTGTACCCGGCTGTGTCCACTGATCCGTAATTGATTCTCTGTACTTGAAATCGATACGTTCTCAAGCCTGCAGTCAAAAAAAGATGCTGACATTTGTAATTCTTATTTTTGTTGTTTTTTTTGGTATTGGGGATTGAACTCAGGCCTTTGAGCTTGTGAGACAGGCGGCATAACCACTGAGCTAAATCTCCGGCCCATGACGTTTATAGTTTCAAATGCTACTGGGAACCACTTGTATAATCCTTTTCATTTTAAGTAAATGTGCACCATTTTTTGTTTCAGGGTGAAGCAAGAAGCATTTCATTTGCACATTTCTTGGACATGGAGTATCAAGTTCCAGTTTATTGGCAGCAGCTGCTAGAGAAAAGATTTTGAGGTTTATGGTTAATTGGATCTAAGAAAAATATGTAGTGGATTGATTAGAGAAAGATGCAGTTTGGGATTATGAAATAAATCACAAAATATAATTTTTGTTTAAGCTGCCCAAAATCTGGTTAAGAGAATCTGATCTTTATTTTATATAAAGTTTGTTTTCAGAGAATATGTTACCCATTGTAAAGACTACATATTTTTATTCAGCAGTATTTGTTGAAATCTTTCTCCCATTTAAAAACTTATCTGTTCACTTTTTTTTTTTTGCCTGTGAGTTAAGAGCTCTGATATAAAACCTCTCAAAGGGTTTAAATAATGATATATTTTAACTACTCACCAAAGCAGGGAAAGATTTTAGACTTTTAAACCAGAAAGGTTTGGCAAAACAAGTTTTAATTGTAGCTGTATCTGGTTACTGAGATGGGGGTAGGGATTTGAAAAACAAAAGGTGAGTGTAATTTGGCAGTTTGATGTCTTTGGAAGGCTTTTGCTTTCTAAGCCTTGTGCAGAGCCTTTTAGCATTAGTGCCTGTCTGCTTAAGGGAAGTTGTAGTCTCAACTGGACAGTTACCGTCCCTCATCCCAACTTTTTTGGTTTTGGGTAAACCTTAAGGGTGAAGTGATACCATATGTCAGAATGTCTAGATTGTGAAGGATATTAATGGCTTCACCTGGGTCTAAACCAGAGAGGGAGAAAATGCAAGCTCTTCATTTGCTTCTTCAGTGGGGGTAGCACATCCTGTATTTTAGAACAAGTAGGGTGCCTTGCTTAGGTGAAAATAGCATTCACTGCGTAACTGTGTGAGGGACTATGGGTCAAGTTGTACTTCTGTACACTGGCATCCCCTCTGCTTTCGTATGCAACAGCTTGTTAGTACTGGACGCGACTGGCTTCCAGATGTAGTCCTTAATAAACTAACTGCGTGTCTGTGTCAGTCGCAGTTCTCTGCCATACGTGCTTCGCCTTGCTCTTGCTCTCAGTGACAGCTACCCCGAGACACGGTTCCATTTCTTCTTACTGACTCTGCCCAGGCTTTCTTTGCACAGATGATGTCTGGAGAAGAAATTGTGTTTCTCTCCCTTAGCATCTGACTGCCTCTAATCACAGTGGAGATGTGACTGTCTGTAATGAGTGCAGAAATGAAAGCTTGTTTTAGGCTGAAAATGGCTTAAGAGAATTTATTATTGGATTAAGAGTCAACTGTATTTTTTTATTATATCCACTCCTGACATATTAATATAAGAAGAAATGGGTAATTTCCTGTTGTATTTTATCCTGCTGGAACATACCTAACCTGCTTAACAGTCACGCTGTTTAGATGGAAATGTGTTTCCTTGTGGTTGAGTGTGAAGGTTGTGAGAACTCATGGCCATAGTTACCTGAGCAGTTAGGGTGTCATCTGTTTTTCTCCCTTTCACAGATTGCTTTTGGGGTCTACTTTACTGTGGAAAACAGCTGTAGGGTCCGTTGGGCTTGATCAGGTGTTTATTCATTTGCACTTACTTTATTTCCAGCTAATGAATCTCATTGCACACCTAAGAAAAGAGTAAGAACACAGAGAGGTGTGGCGCATACCTGTAATCCCAGCACTCAGGAGGCTGAGGCAGGAGGATCACCGTGAGTTTGAGGCCAGCCTGGGCTACATAGTGAGTTCAAGGCCAGCCTGAACTACATGTGACCCTGTCTCAGAAAAGAGTAAGGACACAAATGCTACAAAGCTGTTTGGTGGCAGTATCTTTGTATACCTCACTAGAGGCCAGACCTTCCATACAAAGCAGGCCTGGTATCTGAATTGTGTGTTGTACTCTATCTAGTTGGTGTGTTACTTTTCCCAGCCAGTGAGTAAGTGGCTGCTGAAGGGGCAGATTGCTGGGAGAGGGAGACCAAGGAATGGAGCGAAGGCATCTTATTTGTATACAATAAAAAGGCATTTGTCTCATGGATTTGTGAAAACTCGCTGTGCATCCCATTTGTTACTGGGGAAGCACTGCTAGGGAAGCTTCCTCCTGTCTTGGGCTCCTTTGTCTTTATGATCTTGGCGATGGATCGGCCCCTGCGCTTCCTGTAGAGCCTCAGGAGAGGGGGCTCTGAAGAGGCCTTCGTGAGCTCTGAGGAGAGTGACTCCAGCGAGGTGACCAAGGCCGGCCAGTGCATCCTGAGGAGACGCCAAGGCCCTCACTGCCACGTCGGTTTCTGTGTGGAGACTCCTGTCGCCCTGTGACACCCCGTGGTCCGTGCTCCGTGCTCTGGACGTGTGGGAGGGCTGGGTGCCACCGGGCCAGGTGGAACAGGCTGTCCTAAAGCAGGACTGAGAGCAACTGCTTACTCCTTTACTCCTGCCGGGCTTCAGGGTTTCATGAGGAACTGGAGGAGGGAAGAGCATTAGAGAGCAGAGGGCCAGGTGCTCTAAGTCCCATCGGCGATGACCCACAGGTTGCTTTCATGTCTCAGCTGTCATCTCTGTTCCATCTTTTGTGAAGTGTCTATTTAGATCTTTGGCCCAATTTTTTTAGTTTCTTACTACATTTTAGAAAGGAGATTCAGTTTGTCTCAACCTTGTAAAAGTCAAGAGTGGTGGGCAAGTGGGCAGGGTGGCACAGGCCGGTAATCACAGCACTCTAGGAAGCTGAGACTGGATGTGATGATACATGCCTGTCTAATTCTGGCAGTCTGGGAGGCTGAGGCAGGAGGATCTGAGTCTGACACCAAGCTGGGCTTCATTGCTAGTTCAAGGTAGACTTAGAGAAAGTGAGACCCTATTTTTGAAATAAGGTCTCGCCAGATTTCCCAAGCTGGCCTTGAAGTTTTAATCCTCCCAACTCAGCCTTCTGAGAGCTGGGCCCCCACTCCCTACGTGTTTTGTTTTTAAGAGATTGGTTTTCACTTTCTTTCCTAGACTGACTCTAGCCTCCTGGGTTCAAGCAGCTTTGTTCCTCAGCCTGGGCAAAGAAGGACAGGAACAACAGGCACATGCCAAGGCATCTCCTTTTTTTTTTGCCCCTCGCTCCCTCTTCTTTCAGCACTAGGGGTTGAACTCAGGTCCTTTCCACTGAACCGTATCCCCAACCCATTTATTTATTGATTTAGGATTTTTGAGACGGGGTCTTGTGATGTAATCCAGGCTGGCCTCGAACTTGCAGGAATCCTTCTGCCTCAGCCTTCCTGAGTGCTGGGATTACAGGGATGTGCAACCTCACTTGGGTCCCTTTTAAAAATTTTAGATAGGATCTTGCTAAATTGTCTACGCTGGGCTTCGTGATCTTCTGCCTCAGTTTCCCAGATTGCTGGGATCACCTTGTCTGGCTCACCCTCTGTTAAGTTTAAAATGAATCCTAGACCACATTGCTTCATCTGCAAGTATTTGTGTGCATACCTATAAAAAAGAGACTAAAAATATCATTTCCCCAAAATACAATTTTTGTACCTGATCATCTAATGAGCTGAAATGTCAGTTTTAGAAGAGTTTCTTTCAGTCAGTCCGGTCTACACATTGTCCTTGGGTACTATGCTGTTTTTTAATAAAACATTTTGGGCACACATAATATTCAGATTGTTCACATGCTTTTCACTTCTCACTTCGGTTCTGTGGGTAACGTGTGCCGTCTCTAACACACACCTGACCGACTGTACACCCATCTTCCCTCTGGCGAAGCCAGTTACCGGCATTCGTGCCAGACTTAAGTGTTCAGCATCCACGTCATCAGCTAGTTTTTTCTTTGAAAACCTGCTGTGAAGTAGACGTTAGGTGTGCCACTGGGTGGGTCTCAGTGCATGCTGGCAACAGGATGTTAACTTTACTCAGTCCCTCCCCTCCTCTCCTTCCGGTGACTCCAGCACAATTCTGTCTGACTGGTAGTAGACTTGGGTGGGGACAGGCTGCACAGGGTGCCCTCCGGTGCGGTTTCTTCCCTGTAGCTCACTTGGAGAGCTGCTTGTAGGTCACGGTCCCCCTTTCTGTCACAGTGACGTCCCCTGCGTGTGGAAGTACCAGTGAGCCGTTACCTGCCAGGTGGACCGGGCTGTTCTGGGTTTTGGCCACTATGAATAAAGTTGCTATTCTCTGAGACTTTGTATATCTATGTTGGAGTTTCTTTTGGGTGGTCAGGAGTGAAATATCCTGAGTTGTAGCCTTTTCTCAGTGGACTGCTTACCCCAGCTAAGAAGGTCAGCACCCTCATTATTTGGAGCCGTCTCTGATTTTAGTCACTGCAGGTGTAGTGGGATCTAGTGCTTTTGTACTTTCTGACAATATTGAGTCATTCATTATATTTATTGGCCATTCAGATATCTTTGGTGAATGTGAAATGAGTGTCCTTATTTCTCTTAAATGATAGATTTTCTTGTCCATTTAAAAACTTGTTGAAGAAATAAGAGTAACATCTAAGTTTCCACAATCTGAATTTCATGATTTCCTGCTTGCTGTTTACTGAGCACTGTTTCTGTTGGGTTTTGTCCAACTAGGTAGAAGCACTTTATTTGCACCTTCACTCCATGACTTGAGTGCTTGGGGCCTTCCGCTCCTATGCATGGCTCTGGTTAGACCTGCAGCACCCAGATGGGGAAGGAGAAGGGGAACGTGTGGGGAGCCCCGCGGGTAACGGAGCTAGAGACAGGATTTGCAACTTCTGATAAACTGGGATGTGTTTATTCCTTGCTTCCTTAAAGCAAAGTAGGGGACGCAGGTAACATGGTATTTTAACCTGCTCTCTTTGGTAAGAATGTCTCCTTTGTGGTAAACCTTGTAACAGTGTGAATTACACTTCTGCCCCACAAAGTACCACACCAAGCAGTAAGGTGTCCTGTGTCATCACACAGCATTCTGAGTTACCTCTCCACCCTGCTTCATGATTAACTCAGGGATCCGATATCCTCAGCAATGCTTGCAACCGCTTACTAGTTCTAGATTTCAGCTGATTCTACGTTCAAGGTGAGTTGTCTGCATAGTTCATTACTCCACACGTGGAACTGTCAGAAGCTGTTTCCAGTTGAGTATTAACTGGCATGTCCAGGTACCACAGAGGTGGGGCTGGCAGTAGGATTAAGTTAGACCTTGGTAGTGGACTGGCCTTCAGCCGGCAGATGTCTGCTCCTCAGACACGATTTGGAGAATACTGAGGGGTGGGGGACTGTTAGGCTGGATTATTTGAGAGCAGTCTCAGTACAATCAAATGAACACTTACTATGCTTTTGAAATAATTCTGCATCTGCTTATCAGTCCCAAAAACTTTTCAGATCTCTTTGGAAACAAACTATGTTTAGGGAGTTCAATCAGGATCCAGTGGGTTAGACTGATGGTTGAGTACAAAAGCAGTTTGTTTTGTGCTGGGGACTGGGCTCAGGGCCTGTGTGTGACGGTGACAACTGTCAGAGTCATTCTCTATACCCACAGGACTTTGCTAAATTGTCCAGACTGCTTTCATACTTGGTGACCTCTCTCACCCTCCCAGTGTGCTGGGGTTTCAAGTGTGTATCACCACACCTAGCTAGAGTTTTGTTGTTTTTTTTGAGACGGTCTCACTATGTAGTTGAGACTGATCTGGAACTCACTATGTAGCCCAGGCTGGTCTCAAACTCAGTGATCCTCCTGCCTCAGCCTCCCAAGTGCTGGGATTACAGGCATGAACCACCACACCAAGCCCTGGCTAGAGTTTTTATTTAAGCTTCTATTATCATTTCCCCTCATTCCCTTCAGATGGTCTGATGACCTTGGGTTTTCAGACTTGCCCTTGGTGACTGGCAGCTGTTGAGAGTCATTCTGCACATGGCCTCTCAGTGAGGATGTCTTATTCAAGCCCAAGGACACAAGGGTGCCAGCAGTGTGGCTTCGCAAGGATAGGCATACACTCATCCTGACCGGGCTGCCAGTTATTTCCACTTCCACAGTCCACACTTGGAGCGCTCCTAGAGTGTGGCTTGTCCCAGAGAGGGTGCCGAGATCCACTGAGGGGAGGGAATCCACGTGCGCTCTGGGGGCAGTTGTGCTGCCCTCCACTGCTCAGGTGCTCCTCTCAGTACAGACACGTCTCACACCCAGTTACAGTACTGCATCGTGCACTGACTGTGTTGCTCATGTTCTCATTGCTGGCCATTGGGAGTTCTCAGCGACTCCTTTTCTTCACACTCTGTGAGAAGCCCAGACCTGGAATCAGCCATTTCTTCAAGGAGTTCTAGGTTTCCTTTTATGGGACAATGGTATCAGATATGTGGTAGTACAGACCTGTAATCCAGCTACCGCGGTGGAAGAAGTAAATAAACAATGGAAAGCTGGGGCTGCTGTGCAAGGTGGAGCAGTGGTCCAGCTTGTGCACAGGGTTAGGTCTGAACCCAGTACTGAGGTGATGGGGTGCGTGGTGCTGTACTGGCAGCAACAACCATGAAGGTGACAACCCTGTACCAATATAGACAGTGCTATTTAAAAACCAGTAAAATTCACATAGAACTCAACCTTCTAAGAAATGTAGTTGAGCTGTGTGTGGTGGCATATACATGTAATTCCCACACTGGGGAGGCAGAGGCAGGAGTATTGCTGTCAGTCCAAGGTCAGCCTGAGCTACATGATGAGATCCTGACCAAAAACAAAAAAAATCCCCAAACCCGAGTTGTGCAGCACCATACGTCACCACCTAGCACTATAGTCCCTATCCTTCCTGAGACTTAGGAACCACTCAGTCCTGTCTGCTCCAGCCCCTGCTGCGTCATTTTGCCACTTCTGGGTGCCTCTTCTAAAGTGGACTGAATAGCACATGCTCCTGTGGCTGGCCAGCGTCACTCCGTGTCCTCTAGAGCTAGCTGTATGCGGCAGCACTTCCTGAGGTCGAACTGTTTACCCTAGGACATTCCACTGCGCTGGGCTGTCGTGAGTGCATGCACTGCTTTTTGGTCCTCAGGAGCACTGCTGTAAGCACAGGGCCAGTCACCCCCAGTGCTTATCATGCCCAGGGCCTCATACCCATCAAGTACTCTATTGAATTACATCTCCACCCCAACAAATACTTTGGAGGTCCAGTTTTTAATTTTTTTTGGATGTACACCTGGAAATGGATTTGCTAGTCTTTTTTTTCACATTTCTACCAAGTGAACATGGGTTCCAGCTCCTGCATATCTTTGCAAATACATGTGAGTTTGTCTTCTGCACTACTGGGGACAACCCAGTGAGCTATCTCCTCAGCACTTCTCTTTTTTTTGTACCAGGGACTGAACAGGCGACCTTGTGCTTACAAGGCAGGCAGTGGTACCACTGAGCTAAATCCCTGGCTCTCTTCAGTTTTTGAGACAGGGTCTTGCTAACTTAGTTGTCTAGGCTAGCCATTACTTGTGATTATCCTGCCTCAGCCTCCCAGAGCACTGGGAGTGCAGTTGTACACTACCACTTCAGGCTCTCTTTGTGTTTTTAATTCGCAGTTCCCGTGTTTGCTGGTGTGGGGCCCTTTGCACATGCAAACTGAGCATCTGTTATCTTTTCTGTGTGTGAGAAATATCTTTTCAAATACTTTGTTCATTTTCATCATTTTAAGCTTTTCTAAGAGTTTTAGAGTTCTCTTACATTTAGGCTTTTCATTTTATGGCATGTGGGTCCAACTTCATTTGTGCATGTGGCTGTCCAATATTTCCAACTTTTTTTTTTTTTTTTTGGTACTGGGGATTGAACTCTGGTCCTTGCGCTTACAAGGCAGGCCACCGAACTGCTGAGCTAAATCCCCAGCCCCTCCAATGTTTTTTTGGAAAAAAACTCCGTTCCCTACTGAGTGGTGTGGAAGACTATTTGCCCATCTATTTGAAGGCTCTTTTCTGGGTTACTCTATTCAACTTTTTTTTTTTTTG